TTAAAAATAAAGTAAAAATATAGTATCACTGAAAACAAAAATGAAGCATTTATTCTTGTCTGGCAGTTCCACGTACCTACAGAATTTACACATATGTGAGCTGATAAACTAGGGAACATGCTTATTTATTTCAGTCACAAAATATCAACAACCAATTGATAATAGAATAACATGGACCTTGAAGGTCATCTAGTCCAAACCCCTGGTCAAATGGTTGTCCAATCTCTTCTTAAAAGCCTCCAGTGATGGAGCATCCACAACTTTTGAAGGCAACCCATTCCACTGGTTGATTGTGTGATCCAATATTCTCTTGAAATGGCCTTCGGTTTGGCCATTTGTGCTGGGGATGAGTTTGGGGTTCTGAACTTCACTCTTCTTCTCCTGAATTCTCCTTTGTTGGGTTTGTGTCCAATGGTCTCAAGACAAAAGAGGCAACTCGGGAGTAAGGCTTGGAGATGATTAGCCCCTCCCATAAGACATAAAAGACAAGCAAAGGGACAGGAGCCTTTGCAGGAAGCAACTTTGTTCATTCTGGTCAGTTTAAACTCTGAAGCTCCATGTTGACTTTGTGCTCCATTTGGCCTTCTACAGCTAATTGGCAATTAGCTACCAACAGGATAAGATCATGGCTGGCTACACCTAACACAAGTTCTTTAAAGCTGGATCAAGGGAGAACTTTTAACAACCCCTGTGCTGATGACACATTAAATAAATAAACCATCTCTTGCCTGTCACACCCACCTGACCCACTAGAGCGAGGAGGCAAGAGACATTCTGAATCCTGTCCCCTAAGGAGCTACATCTGGTGGGACCCAGAAGAAGGGCCTTCTCCGTGGTGGCTCCTTCCCTTTGGAATATCACCCTTTCAAAAATTAGACTGGTTCCCACTTTGACATTCTTTTGTAAGGCTCTGAAGACTTGGTTTTGTGTGGGCAACCCGGAGTGGGATGGAGGCTATCAAATGGTTGTGTGTTGTCACCAGGTTGGTGGGAGAGGAGTTATTATTTTGTATTTTGTTATTTTCTATACTGTGTTTTTATTGCTTGTAAGCTAGCTAGAGTCACTGTGAATGAGGAGATGGCCATATCATCGTCTTTTAATGTCCTTTAACATAATCCCTTGCGAGGTGGAGTCTGTGCAACTGAATGGAGAATGTTTTTACTGGCCAGATGCCCTTCCTGTCACCAATGCGGAGTTTTGTTTCAGCAGATATATTCTCATCATGCCCAGAGAGAGAAATATCTGCCTCTACCTAGGATCGAACTTATAGCCTCCTGATTGTGAGGCGAGAGGTCTACTTCTAGGCCACTGCACCAAGGAGATGGCAATATAAATTTCCCAAATAAATAAAATAAAATAATAAATGAAAGCTGGCAAGCAGGCAGCTCTTATGGAAAGCATTATCAGGGACAAAGAACCGGGCCTTACATCAAGATTTACTGCTCAAGCTCACACACAAGAATCTAGTCAACTAAAGTTCAATGCTAAATTGGTGCCACATAAGCATCAATGGAATTCAAGAAGTATTGAATTTGGATCGTTTGTGGCAATGTATTGATTCTAGGCTGATGACTCACTTAACTCTGCCCCCAACTCTGCCTACTCATCTATAAACATACACCTGCCCCAGAAGCAATTTATACCAGTATCCTGAACATCCAAATTTGATGGAAGCTTGAGGGAATCTCTTCCGCAACCTTTCAAGAAACTTTATATTCGAAAGCAATTTATTTCAGGGCTGATGAGCCTGCATGTATGTTTAATTTCTCCCCTTGAACATGGAGTCAGCCACCAAATTTCATAACAGGAAATCATTTCGGGGAAAAGTTTGCCCTTAAATTAAATAGAGGTCACTCTACTCGGGACCTCCGAAGACATGCTGAGACTCAATTATCCCAGAGGAAAGGTCCAGAATACCATCTGTTCATTTTCAGGGAAGATCCTTGCCCTGCTCTTCAGACAGTTTAATTAAGGCAGCCTTATGCAGAGATGTTGCCTGTGGCGAAAGACAATAAAATCCATACAGTTTGAGGTAGTTGTGACAAGTGATGGGCAAACAAGGGACATCTGTTGAGCCAGCTCTCTAAAATATTTTGATTTAACACTTGTGAGGTCTCCAGACCAGGAAGGGTGGATGGGAGCTGTGTAAGACAACCCAGCTACAGAACATCGTGCTGGAAAATGCTTTCTAGCCATTAGTTAGAAGGTCCTGTGTTTGGCCTGTTTCCATAGAGCAAAATCAATAGTTTAGGGTATCAAACTGTTGCTTTCTACATTCTGCCTACCTAGTCAGAGGTGATATTCAGCAGGTTCTGACCAGTTCTAGAGAACCAATAGTGGAAATTTTGAGTAGTTTGGAGTACTGGCAAATACCACCTCTGACTGGCCCCGCCCCCATCTATTCTCCACCTCCCATTGAGTCCCAGCTGATTGGCTGGGTCTTCTTTTGTTGTCCTGCACAGAAGAACAGAGCTGGAAAGCAGGTTAGTGGGGTGGGGAGGGAATGGGGATTTTGCAGTATCCTTCCCCCAGGAGTGGGGAGGGAATGGTGATTTTGCCCTGTCATGCCCACCAAGCCACGCCCCCCCCCCCAAGCCACGCTCACAGAACCGGTAGTAAAAAAAAATTGAATCCCACCACTGTGCAACTTCAAGGAGCCCTCATGACAGTATCACTTAGTAGGGCTAACAGAATGGAAGATCACAGGTCCTGCAATAGTTCTAACTGTGTGTAGAAGAGAATGTTTGTAGCTCAGGGTTGAACTGAGCTATTGAATCCTTGGTGCTGTCTGAGCTTGGTGGTTTTCCTGCAGATGTTTCATTACCCAAACTAGGTAACATCGGTGCACTGATGCAGTTACCTAGTTTGATAATGAAACGTCTGCAAAAAAATCACCAAGCTCGGAGAGCACATCTAACTATCTCTCAAGGTCTTATTTACCCAAGTGATCTGGAATTAGTGGGTAGCTAAGTTTTAAAACGTATGTCTGTATATATTGTATACAAGGAACTACTTAAAAAAAATAGATACACATAGAAATAGTGTCCCTCTGTGAGGGAAATGGGTGGTTAAAAAGATAGAAGATAGAAAGATGAGAGGGAGAGAGAGAGATGAGAAAGCTGAGAGAGAGAGAGAGAGAGAGAGAGAGAGAGAGAAGGATGGATGGATGTTTGGAAGGATGGAAGTTTGGAAGAATTGAAGGATGGATGATAGAGAGACATAGATTAAGGAGATAGATTATACATTAGAGAGAGAGAGGGAGGTAGATAGAGAGTAAGTTATTAGTAAAAAACCTGGAATTTTTCCATACTCAGCTTCAAAAATAAAGTATAGGACTAATTTAACCCAAAAGTTGGTTTTCTATTTCTATGTACAAAACTTTTCCTATTCACTAAATTTATGGACACTATGAAATGCAAACAATACTTCAAAGCAGCCTTAAAGCACTGCAAAGTTGGAGGATTTGTTATACTATTCCATTCTAACATGAAAAGAAATAAGCATAGAAAAAGGAAGACACAGCTATTTGTTATGTACAGTGTAGGTCTTCCTTCCAGGCTGAGAGCGAGTCTAGGAGATTTAAATTGGATTCTGCTTTTACAAAGGTGAGCATAAAAAAGATTTAGTTAGTGTTTGGGTATATGTGTGTTTTATCATTTTGGTGGATAATCTATATTTAGGCAACTTACACGATTAAAAGTGTTTCCAGTAAACCTTTTATGTATCAAATTTGATATGCCACCCAGCTCACCGAAGGCAATTGTAGGCATTGAATAAAATGCAGGATAGAACATTAAAACAATAAATAAAAGTCTTAAAATGCAATTAAAATAAAATTAAGTAGGATGGAGAGGGAAGAAGCGAGGTGCACATAGGAAGGAGGTCAGGTATTCTCTGCTCCTTCAGCCACCTCCAACCTGCCACACCCTCATTGGCGAAGAGCATAGAATAATAGGGTTGGAAGGGACCTTGGAGGTCTTCTAGTCCAACCCCCTGCCTAGGAAGGAAACCCTACACCACTTCAGACAGATGGTTATCCAAACTCTTCTTTAAAACTTCCAGTGTTGGAGCATTCACAACTTCTGGAGGCAAGTTGTTCCAATGGTTAATTGTTCTCACTGTGAGGAAATTTCTCCTTAGTTCTAGGTTGCTTCTCTCCTTGGTTAGTTTTCATCCCTTGCTTCTTGTCCTGATGCTTTGGAGAATAGCTTGACTCCCTCTTCTTTGTGGCAGCCCCTTAGATATTGGAACAGTGCTATCATGTCACCCCTAGTCTTTCTTTTCACTTGACTAGACAAACAGGATTCTTGCAACCGTTCTTCATATGTTTTAGCTTCCAGAACCCTAACCATTTTTGTTGCTGTTTTCTGCACTCTTTCCAGAGGCTCAACGTCTTTTTTATAATATGGTGACCGAAACTGGATGCGGTATTCCAGGTGTGACCTTACTAAGGCTTTATATAGTGGTACTAACACGTCACGTGATCTTGGTTCTACTCCTCTGTTAATGCAGTCTAGGATCGCATTGGCTCTTTTGACTGCGGCTGCACACTGCTGGCTCACATTTAAGTGATTGTCCACTAGAACTCCAAGATCCTTCCCATTCACTTTCAGTTGTATATTTGTAGATCCACTTGTACTGTGGATAAACACACACAGGCAATCAACCAGATAGACAGATAATGTATTAAGCCAGGAAAAACCCTGGTGAGAAGAGCTTTTGACTGTAGTCATTAGAGATTAAAAAAAGAAAAAAAAAACCTTTCTAATTTATTCTTTTGTACTGTGGAAATGTATCTCTGACAATTGTTTTTAAATATGAAAATAATTGAGTATGAAATAATCTTTTTCCATATATCCTGTTGCGGTAATGGATGATAAGATGCCACCCCTATTCTTTGTAATTCAAAGAAATGGAGATAAAGATATTGGTAAGAATGATGACAAATTAATCATATTTGAGTTCTCATTTTTTTTCCTTTCGTTTCTTTCTTTTTTTAGGATTCTTTTCACCATGGAAAACTCCAAAGCCTGTAAGTTTTTTATTTACTAATTATTGTTCTTAGAATGCGTAAGACTCATGGTTGAGAAGAAAATAATGAGTGTAGAAAACAATCACCTGCATTGCAAGATTTTTTAGGGTACCCTACTGCTAATTATAGGAATATAAATCTAATATGACTGTAAAAGGTATTTAGACATATACTTATTGGCTTGAAAGCAAGTATTTCTTACTGGATTTAGTGTTTCTGATCTATGAAGCATATAGAAATTATTTCCTTCCCTCTGTCCATGTGGAGGCAGGACTGTTTGGCAAATGTACACTTAAAAACCAATTAAAAAAAGAAAGAGAGAGATGATTTAGATCTAATATAGATAGATAGATAGATAGATAGATAGATAGATAGATAGATAGATAGATAGATAGATAGATAGATAGATAGATGATGGGTGGGTGGATAGATAGATGAGAGAGACAGAGAGGGAGAGGGAGAGAGATAAATAGATAAATGATAGATAATTGATAGAGAGAGAGATAATAGAGGGTTAGAGAGAGAGAGTGGTAAATAGATTGATAGTGGACAGACAGATATGCGTGGGTGTAGGTGTGGGTGAGAAAGAGGGAGGGGGAGGGGGAGGGGATGGAGGGAGAGAGACAGAGAGATAGAGAGACGAAGACAGAGATTAAAAGAAGTTTAAATCAATGAAGGTTGAGATAACAATTCTCCAAAATTGAACCAGTAGATTGACCTTGGAGATTGTGAATTCTGGTCATACCTTGGTATGAATCCAGTGTTGACTTTGACCCAATCTTTGGGCAAAGCAAGGGCAAACCACTTCCCAAAAACGTCCTTAAAAACTGCAGGGACATTCGAGAGACACCTGACACCAAATAATTGAAAGATTGTCTATTGCTCTTCATCCTCAACTTATAGGCTACAAGAAGGGAAATCACCCTCTTAACTTTCTTCCGAGAAAACTTGAATTTATTTATAAGAACGAGATGGATTAAACAACGGCATCTGAATTCCCCAATTTAATTTCAGCCAGGAACTCTGGAGAAGGATTTGTGTGCAAGCCACTACAAAAAGATACCAGGGTTCATAATTTTAGTATACCTTTTGAGATGAAATGGAGAACTTGGCAAGTGATTCCCATAAATCTAGATGTAACTTCTACTTTTAGAATTGTGTATCATAGAAGATATTACTTTAGCTCCAAATTTAATGGCCAGTGGGACAAAATTGCTGCCTTTATGTTATCTTGCTCCACTTCTTAGGATATGATATATCTCTACTGGGACTCCAAGAAAAATCACTAAAAATAATGTTCTCTGCACATGTTATACTTCTGACAGTATCGTTAATTATTTACAAATGGCTGAGATGACAGTCCTGTACATAAGACCTGGTGTTGAGTAGATATCTTCAAAATTATATTGCCAAATAAGACAGTGTAACTCAGGGGTCTCCAAACTTGGCAACTTTAGGCAGGGGTGGGATTCAAATTTTTAATAACCGGTTCTGTGGGTGTGGCTTAGGTGGTAGGCGTGGCTTGGTGGTCATGTGACTGGGTGGACATAGCTTGGTGGTCATGTTATTGGCTGGGCGTGGCCAACTCAACATCACTCACATTGAGGCACACATCTCCTCGCCTAGCCTCTCATGACTGTGGGGATGCTGCAACAGTCATAAGTATGAAAAACGGTCATAAGTCACTTTTTTCAGTGCCATTGTAACTTTGAATGGTCACTCCACACAAGCAAAGTACCAGCAAAGGAGGGGGGGGAAACTCCAGAGACGTTCCTGAGACAGGAAGTCTAGTTCTGCCAAGAATGTAATAAGGATTAACGGGGAGGCAGTTTCTGTAAGCAACACCAGAATGTTTCCTTCCTGCCTTCCTTATAGGATTAAGCCAGTAATTTCTTCTAACAACCGGTTCTCCGAACTGCTTAGAATGTTAACAACCGGTTCTAGCGAATAGGTGCAAACTGGTAGAATCGCATCCCTTACTTTAGGACTTGTGGACTTCAGCTTCATGAATTCCTCAGCCAGCCACGCTGTCTGAGGAATTCTGGGAGTTGAAGTCCACAAGTCTTAAAGTCGCCACGTTTGGAGACCTTCCTGGTGTAACCTGATTGAGAAAAGAAAAAGCTATGGGGTTTGTCTCCAGGATCTCAAGGTCTTGTTTCCTTTTCTTTGTTGTAGATGATGGAAAAATGGGACACTCAAGGCAGTCCACAGACAAGTGTATCTGCTCCAGCTGCACCACAGAATATTCCCTTCCCACCAGCCCTTCACAGAAGCTCTTTTCCCGATTCAACAGAGGCCTTTGACCCGAGAAAGCCTGACCCATACGAGCTGTATGAGAAGTCACGAGCTATTTATGAAAGTAGGCGTAAGTGGAAGCCATGGTCCACCTCTGCAGAAGCCTTGGCCAATATGTCTGTGGAGATTCTCAATCGTGCAGGTCATAGTTGTCCCAACGGTGCTTTTTCAAAAGGTGACTGGACTTGGTTTCCCCTTGAAGACATTCTGCTTCCCATCCCAAGGAGCTTCTTGTCAGCCTCTATCAGAACTGAAGAAGCTTCTTGGATGAGAAGGGAAGCATCTTCAAGAAGAAGCAACGTCTAGTTGCCTTTTGAAAAAGCATCTTTGGGACACTCAAATTGGCCCAATGGAATTGAACATTGTAACTAATTGTAAACCAGCTAATGCTTTTATTTGTTATGGAGACCAGGAGGAGAAAAAGAAAAGCTTAATGCACTTGTCTTAAATTTGCTGATGGCATCCCGATAATTAACTCTGGTAGGAACAGATGGGGAACGATACTGTTAAAAATTCTGTATATAGTCCTTACAGTGCACTATCCACATGTACTTTTCTGCTAAACTGCCAGAAGGAAGCAGGAAACTTTATATACAGAGCAAATGCAGCTACAAACTTATAAACACTGCCACCTGCTGGTTGGCTGTAGTTGTTGCACAAAATACATGAACATTGTATTCCAGTCATGCTCCAGTCATGTCTGGTGATGTTCATTGCATTTGTATAAATTGGCACTTTGTGGAGAAATGCTTGCTTTGAGTCCCCTTTCAGCATTTAAATCAAATCAGTCTTCATTATGGTCATAGACCATCATAGACCACTGAATGTCGGGATGGTTTCACAATGCAGTTTGCCTTTGCTTGATGTATACAGAATGCTTTTGCATTTTTTGCAATGTTTGCAGTTGAAAATGATGCCATTGCTTTAGATTAAGATTAATGTGTTTCCAACTAGTCTGTTATATATGCAGGTTCATAGAGGTATATATTGGAGGCTAAACCGTATGACGAATGGTTGTAGGAACTGGGAGCATCTAGTCTAATGAAGAGAAGGACTAGGGGCGACATTATAGCAGTCTTCCAATACAGATAGTCCTCGACTTACGACCACAATGGAGTCCAACTTTTCCATTGATAACTGAGACAGCTGTTAAATGGATTTTGCCCCATTCTACGACTTTTCTTGGCACCGTTGTTAAGTGAATCACTGCCTTTAAGTTAGCAACAACTAGTTCATCAAGTGAATCCGGCTTCCCCATTGACTTTGCTCGTCAGAAGGTCACAAAAGGAGATCACATGACCTCCTGGGACACTGCGACCGTCATAAATACTTTGAGTCAGTTTCCAAGTGTGTGAATTTTGATCACGTGACTGTGGGGAATGCTGACATGGTTGTAAGTGTGAAAAATGGTCACAAGTCACTTTTTTCAGCGCCTTTGTACCTTTGAACGGACACTCCATGAATGGCTGTAAGTCAAGGAGTATCGGTACTTGAGGGGCTGTCACAGAGAGGAGAGGGTCAACTTATTCTCCAAAGCACCTGAGGACAGGACACAAAGCAACAACTGAGTCACTATTTGTTCAGCACTAGACCACTTGTGCCCCATTGGGTCATAATTTCAGAGCTATTTCCTTACCTAAATTGAAAAACAGGGTGGGTAGATAAGCAGTGGAAGTAGCTTCCAACTCACTGTTAGCTTCTCAACTGTTGTTCTGACCCAAACCTGGTTCCAAGAGAGCAAACACGAAAGAAAGGTACAACCTTTTAATGTTTCATTTACGAATCCCATTCCTTCACAGATAAAAGTCTGCTTCCAACTAATTAGCTCTGATAAGAAAGAGCCTTGCCAAGTTTTTGCAAGGCTGCCAAGAACAACAGATAAAGTTCCTAAACAATAAATCGAAGAGTCTCCAAAAACCAACTCAGATATTCCTAACGTCCACTAGGCTCGAGTATCAAACTTCTTTGCCTTCTGCAAAGAAGTCCGGTTTCTCAACTGGCTTTTATCTCTTAAGGGAGGGGCCATTACCTTGCAGCCTTACTCCCAGGTTGCCCATGCTGCTGCAGCTGCTCTTTCCTTCGAGCAGCCCTGCGCACACATGCGTGCTGGGCATGGGCTCCTCGGGAGCCTCTTCATCATTGCTTCCAGCCTCCACCATCTCCGAAGGCAGCACTCCACTCCCTGATGGTCCTGGCCCCATCCCTGCATCACACACAGGCCCCTCATCTGAGTCCTCGTTCTCCGAGACCTCAGCCATCCACACCTGCTGCCGGTGAACTGCAACAACCGTTCCAATGTTCGTGGGAACCTGTCCTCAAACATTGGACACGATGATCGCATGGCTGGGGCTGACTGGTGATACGGCAGCCCCGAAGCAGCCCCAACTTTGCCAAATTTTAATCCCACACAGGTCGTGGGTCCTGGATTTTGGACCCATTCTGTAAGTTAACCCATCTGTGGCAGGTTGGTTCAAAATGGATTGCTCTGTGATGTACTGTTTTGCCCAATGGAGGGTTACAACCAGGGTTGTCGAACTCGTGGCCCACGGGCCGGATGTGTCATATGCTGTCCACACCCAATTTAGCACAGAGGGAGAAAGTCACAATATGTCATGTGACAACACTGTGACGTCGCGAGTTTGACGCCCCTGGTACAGCAGTCAAACAGAGTTTTAACAGATATTTAATTGACATAATGTATGATCACGGTAGGGGACGCAGTGGCTCAGTGGCTAAGACATTGAGCTTGTCGATCAGAAAGGTCGGCAGTTCAGTGGTTCGAATCCCCAGCACTGTGTAATGGAGTGAACTCCCATTCCTCGTTCCAGCTTCTGCCAACCTAGCAGTTCAAAAGCATATAAAAAATGCAAGTAGAAAAATCGGAACCACTTTGGTGGGAAGGGAACAGCATTCCATGCGCCTTTGGGTGTTTAGTCATGCCGGCCACATGACCACAGAGACGTCTTCGGACAGCTTTGTCGCTTCGGCTTTGTAACAGAGATGAGCACCGCCCCCTAGAGCCAGAAACGACTAGCACATATGTGCGAGGGGAACCTATACATTTACGGCAACATAGCCAACTTCCATTTAGAATTTTTGTGTCATTCCAGGATCACAGTGTGTTGTCTCATGCCTTCCTCTGTGTTTGGTGTTTGAGTCATTTTACCCCTCTACAATGTTTTTAACAACAATGTTTTCTCGTTTCTGAGCTTCTGGGTGATCCAGTCAGCTATCTGCAGGAATTCAAGTCTTTCCACGTCTCTTACGCTTCCAACTCCTTAGAAGTTATTTCAAGGAGAAAAGTGTATCAGCGGCTTTTCAGCCAGTGGGATAGATGAAAGAATGAGAGAGACAGAGACAGAGAGAGGGTGAGAGAGAGAGAGAGGCAGGCAGACAGAGACAGAAAGACAGAAATTAAACCAGATAAATGGACACAGCATACACAATATTGTAATGAAGAGGGGGTACAAATATTGTTTTATCTTCTTTTGTGAGGGAATTTCTGTTCCTGTAGGAGTACTCAGCAGTTAAGTAAGAATTTCTGCTCCTTGTTTTCTGTATTTTGAGATCGACAGAAGCAAAAAAAAACAATGACTTCAATCCTTTTGAAAAAGTGGGGATTAGTAAAGGTGACCTAGAAGCATCCGATTGATTGATTTTGAGTTCTAAGTATAGACTTCCCTAATGAGGGCAGAGTAAGGTATTTGTTTGTCAAGTAGGATATATCCCTTGCATCAGTGAGGATGTTGTGGCTAGTGTTATCTGCACAGAACATAAAATAATAGGATTGGAAGGGAATTTGGAGGTCTTTTAGTCCAACCCCCACTGCTGATTTTACCAGAACCATCTAAATTGACCCAGAAATTGTACATAAAGCATAAAGTGGTCAGAAACCCTTCACATTCTAACACGTTCTCCTGTTAATATCCCTACACAGAGTATAAGATATATAAACCCAGGTGATACTCTGATAATTAATTGATCTCTTTCTTTGTCTGTGTGTGTGTGTGTCTGTGTCTGTGTCTGTCTCTCTCTCTCTCTCTCTCTGTGTGTGTGTCTCTCTTTCTCTTTCTTTGTCTGTCTGTGTGTGTGTGTGTGTCTGTCTCTGTGTCTCTCTCTGTCTCTGCCTCCTCTCTCTCTCTCTCTCTCTCTCTCTCTCTGTGTGTATGTGTCTCTGTCTATGTGTGTGTGTGTCTCCCTCCCCCCCCCTCTCTCTTTCTCTCCCTGATATATGATGTAAGAGGCTTACCACTTAGGAATACAAATTTTCCCTCTATCATTAGACAGAGGTGTGGGGGGGGAGGCGGAAAGCTTTCAGTCAAAAGATATTCCCAGTTATTCTTCAACTTGGTGGGAGAGTTACTCCTCGTGACAAAATATTTTGGCGGCTTGTAGGATCTGATGATAAATCCAGAAGCATTTTCAGAGATGTTTATCAAAATACCAACACAGAGAAAGCACTGTGATGTGAAACCATTGTGATTGCTGGCAAGGAAACCCCCAGAGGATTTTTATGCTAATGGAAAGTGTCAGTTGTAGAGCTGATCGCTGCCACAGTCTCTTAAAACATCTATTTTTTTAAGAGTCTTTACTTGCTTTTAGACATGTAGAGATTTTGCTCAGACTCACTTTGAGAGAGAGACAGAGAGACAGAGAGAGAGAGACAGTTGTAAGTGTGAAAAACGGTCATAAGTCACTTTTTCCGGCACCGATCTAACTTTGAATGGTCACTAAACAACCTGTTGTAAGTTGAGGACCACCAGTATTAATCTCCTTGTCCAGTTCAGATCCTACTTGGGCTAACAGATCTTGCCGAGGTTTACAGCTAGCAATACCCCACTTCTTTTGAAAAGTTTGGTGGCTCAGCTGTTGTTTAAAAAGAAGAGAGGAACAATTGCTTCATAGTCTAGGTCTCTTAAGAGAAGCATCCAATTCAGAAAGTAGAATGCCACTGTACAGCATGAACTTACTCAGGAGTAAGCTCCATTGACTTCAACTGGTTTTATTGACAGGTTAGCCTTAGAAGACTTAGAATATTTTTATTGTCACTTTGAATCGGCATACATTGAA